TAATGGAAAAAGGGGGAAAAAGAACCAATGGCATTGTCAGAATAACTTCAAGTTGCATTCAAGACATTGGTGAAAAACAGAGCCCCAGGAACTGACAGAATATAATTGGAAATGTTTCAACAAACGGGTGCAGTGTTAGAGGTGTTCACTCTCCTGTGCCAAGAAGTCTGTAAGCTAGTTACCTGTCTAACCAATTGGAAGAGGTTCATAGTTGTGTCCCTTTCCAAGAAAGTCGACACAGCAGAATGTGGAAAGTATCAAACAGTGTCAGTAACATTTTGCTGAAGGTCTTTTAAAAATAGTTGCAACAATTTATGGACGGGGAAATGCCAGTCTTATGCTCAAGAACTTGCCAGGGTACACCCTTGATTGAAACTGGGGTACTAGGGTTACAAGAGTCATGCCCTAAGATAGTCAGTGGGTCTTAGAACCAATTATTTTCTAATCTGAAATAGTATGAGGCGGTACCCCCCCAAAAAAACATAATTTTTTCCAAAGCTAAGTAGTTAAATTTTTTTTACAAAACAACCTTATCACCTTCAAAGTACTCTCCGATACACTTAATACATTTGTCAAATCTGCGATTCCATTCTAGGAAACATTTTTCAAACTCATCTGTTGGGATGGCTGACAGCACCTCCCTTGTTTTTTTCTTCACCTCTTCTATGTTGTCAGATTGCTGCTCTTTCACGTCCCTCTTCATTCATGGGAACAAAAAGAAGTCGCACAGAGCGAAGTCAGGTGAGTAAGGTGCATGGGCAAGAGAGGTTTGCTGGTTTTTGCCCAAAACAGGCACACTGAGATGGCTATGTGAGCAGGTGCATTGTCGTGGTGGTAAAACGAATCCCCCACCTGCCACAAATCTGGCCTTTTTTGTCGCACACTGTTACACAATCTTTTCAGAATCTCTAAATAGAAAGCTTGATCAACGGTCTGACCTGGTGGAATGAACTTCAAATGCACTATCTTCCCCCCCAAAAAAAAAAAAACAAAAAAAACAAAAACAAATGTACATTGGGGATTTTGTAGAAATTCCTTTGTCTGCATGTCCTATTTACTGGGCACCATTGCGCCCTCATGCTGATGTTCTCATACAGATAATTTGGTTTTGTCTTGTCATTTCTTTGTCCTGTTTAAGACAATAAAATATATACAATATATTTGAATTTTGGGTCTCTTTTTTCCCCTAAAACAAAAGTAAGGTACTAGTAATGAGTATAGAAGGTATGAGGCACTAAGAAATATATTTTTAAAAGGTGCATAGATAGGATTTAATCCCTAATTTTATGTGGGAGTCAAGGAAGTAAGCAGAAGTCCAGTGTGCCTAACAGGTTTTTTGTCAGGTAATTGAAGTAATACCCTGTTTCCCCGAAAATAAGACAGTGTCTTATATTAATGTTTGCTCCCAAAGATACGCTAGGTTTTATTTTCAGGGGATGTCTTATTTTTCCATGAAGAAGAATACAGTACACATTTATTGTTTATTGTTTTATTAAAAGAGACCTCGCACTTCTTGTCTGCTCCGGCTGCGCTGCAGCCAACAGTGAGCTGTGTGGCGGTGCCCACTGCTATGGTCCAGAGTCCAGAGTTACGGTAGCTTCGGAGGGCCTTATTTTCAGGAGGTCTTATTTTCTGGGGGATGTCTTATATTTCAGCAAGAGGCAAAACTGTAAGTAGGTCTTATTTTCGGGGGATGTCTTACTTTCAGGGAAACAGGGTAACAACCATGCCCCCAAGTAGAGAACACGTGTGCTCCCAAGTAGGCAAATACTTGAGAAAGACTGCAGTTGTGGACAGTAATGGTGATAGGAGAAAAAGGAATACTGATAATGAGGTTATATCTGTGAATGTGAAAATTAAGAATATCTTGAGTGATATTCGAAAGACATCTGCTAAGTAGTTGGATTGATAGATTTTGGAGATAAGGAAAGAACCCTGGACTGGAAATATAGATTGTTTCCTTCAGTAATTAACATGCAAATGGTAGTTGAATCTCTGGTTTAATGGTGGCATTCTGGAAATTTTTACGGTGAGAAGAGGAAAGATCTAAATGTAAAACCCTGGAAACAGCAATGCGAACAAGTTAAGAAGAGGAGGATTCTGCAAGAGCTGGAGAAGAAATAGTGTGTGAAGCAGGTGAAAACAAAATTAAAAACAGGAGGAAACGTTTTATATAATGGAAACCAGAAGAACATAACCTAATTTAGTTTACTGAATATACTTAGAAAACTTCCCTTACTAGCCTAAGGTACTTTACTCAATCCATTCTCTATGGAATTTGTATCACGCATTACATTGCTCCATCATAAGGACAATTATGAGGATGAGGACTGAGTGGTGTTTTGTTCTGCTGTACAAAGGGTCAGAAATGACTTCATCGCACCTAACAACAACATTGTTCAAAACAAATAGTTTGGATGAGAATGTCACCTACAGGGGCCAGAAAACTCTGGGATTCTTCTCTTAAATTGTTGTTAATATATAATTGCCATACAATTCTGCTATTCATTCAGCCCCTCCTCAATCCCGTTACTGTTTCTGAAGGGTTATCTATCTTGGCTTTCATGCATCTAACAATCTTAATTATACAAATGAATATACACAGGTTTAACAAGATTAACGATGTAAAACAAAAACCATAATAGTAAGGGGAGGAAATATTAAAGAACTAGAGCAATTTTTGCAAGTTTGCAGTTTTCTGTCTGAGCCTTTCCCTATTGGTCACTTTGAACAGGCAAAAAAAGTGGTTATAGTGGTGAAATGTTTAGGCAGAGAAAACAATGCAAACATGACGGCACAGTGTGGGAAAAGATCATTTCGTGTGCCTAGAATTTGCAGGGTTGGAATTCTCAGATTACAAGGGTGGTTGGCTTTTACCAGATGCCCACACGTCTTCCTTTAGCACAGTTGGCTGTGGCCCCTATGTCTCTCAACCACACCACCTAATTTGAAGCATTGGGCTAGAACTTTCCCTTATAATGAAGGCTGAGAAGTGAAGCACTCCCTCCCCCCTCCCCAACCCCATGGCACTATTTGGTAAAAGTTGGACTGCTAACTACAAGGTTGACAGTTCAAACCCACCACTCACTTTGCATGAGTCAGAGGGAAAACCAGAGGAGAGTGCTTATGTTACCATCCTTGTGAGTGACTCACAGGCCACAAGGACAGATGGGCACTGTATTGAAATCAGCTTTTCTCTCTCTATGTGAGTAAAGCATTGTTTTGTCCACTGACTGTGTTTTGGAGGTGACCCCACACCTCAGCTCCAGTTTCCTGCAGCAAGAAGGCTGCCACTTTCAATGCCATGCTTTATGGGTCACATTTTTCTGTAGGTAACATTAAACAAATACACAGTCTTAGTTATTTGTGTGTGCTTTTTATAAATGGAGGTAATATTTCCACACAGTGGGATATATAAATCTTACAAATTTTGTTAAAGTTTTGATAAATGTGAAAGCTGTATAAACAATACCAGGGGTCCTCAAACTATGGCCCGCGGGCCACATGCGGCCAGCCGAGGACATTGATTCGGCCCACCGGGTATTTTTGCCCCATTTGTTTTCTTACTTCAAAATAAGATATGCGCAGTGTGTTCATAGTTTTTTTAAAAAACTATAGTCCGGCCCACCAACGGGTCTGAGGCACAGTGAACTGGCCCCGTTTAAAAAGTTTGAGGACCCCTGCAATACACCAGCACAAATAAAACATTTCCATCATCCCAGAAAGTTCCCTTCTGTCCCATTAGTCAATTCCCACTCCCCATTTTTTACTGTGCTAATTTTTATTCCACATTTTACCTTTATCTATTCTTTAATTTCATGTACAGCTTCATTACTCATTATTCATATACAGGTCAACATGATGTTTGTTATGTATTAGAGCTTAAATTCTGAGCACCCATTTGCAGAAGCTATGGATGACAGTGAAAACCCCAAATCCAATTGTCTCCTCGTAGATGAAACTTCCATTGATATCCTTAACCAAGGGTCATCTTGCCTCAGGCAGAGTGCATTGGAAAGCAGGTCACTTCCATTTCTCTGGGCTTGTCTGGGTGTGTCCTTGATGGACCTCACCATGCTAGAGACAGGATAGGGGACAGTATGGGTCATGAGTCAGACCCTAGCAGTAGTGCCCTGACTTCCTTGGTTGGTAGGCCCTGCACCAATTTTGTAAGTTCTTCTGTTTAACGTAATATACATGTTCCAATCAGGGTCCTGTTCCTGCTTCTGTAGTCCACCTGTGACTGATGTATTGATATTCATGCGTGGTGGCATGAGTTTGTGACAGTTTCCTTTGTTCCCTGCCATATTTAACTAGTATTCCAACTGTGAAGCTTTGGATGCCATTCTGACCTCTTGCTAATTGCCTCCCTCATCTGTATGGTGTGTTTTCTTTGTCCTTTTAGAAGCCCTGGTGGCAATGTGGTTGTGTTTGGCTGTAATTCACAAGGCCAGCAGTTTGAAGCCACCAGCAGCTCTTCAGATGAAAGATGGGGCTTTCAACTCCTGTAACCAGTTAAGAGTCTCAGAAACTCACAGGGACAGTTCTACCTTGTCTACCCTGTGGTCACTATGAGTTAGCATCAACTAGATGGCAGTGAGTTTTGTTTTTTGTTTGTCCTTTAAAATATAAGTATTCTCCTTAAACTATATTTACAATTATAGATTGAATTGTGTCCTCCCTATCATTAATATATTGTTTGGGAATTTAGTTTTCTTTGTTATGTTCATGAGGCATTATTAGTGCAAGGTTTGCCTTAAGTCAATCTTGTTAGAGATATAAAAGAGCAAATGTAACAAGCAGGCACAGTTAGGGGAGAATAGATTCCAGATCACATAAGATCTTTAAGAACCAAGAAACAGCAGCTGAGAAGAGACAAGGATCTTCCCTTAGAGGTGGCCTGTGAATTCAGACTTCTAGCCTCTGAAACTGTGCGAAAATAATTTTGTTTGCTAAAATCACTAATTGTGACATTTTTGGTAAAGCTGTGCTAGGTAACCATGACAGTAAGTATATTGCATGTATTAGTCATTCATCCTTTTATTGTTGAATAGCACTGTTGTATAAGTAGATCACAATTTATTTATTCATTCTTCTATTGGTGAGCATTTAGATTGTTAAAAGTTATTAGCCATAATGAATAATGCTGCTAAACATCACTATTATTTCTGTTGGCATGTTTTCCTTTCTTTTAGGTGTTTTGTGGTACAAAAGAGACTCCAAATCTCAAATATAATGTAAGATTATTAAGTCTTAAGCAGGGAGACACAGACACATCATCTGGATGAAGGAGACCATAATGGCATCCAAGGGTTTGCAGACTTTGAGACTTAAAAAAGACCTGGGAGGGCAAAGTAATTGTCACAACAGAAGCATGGTTGGTGGCAGACCAATACATCACAGTTACAGGTGGAATTACAGAAGCATGAACAGGCCCATGGTTGGAACATGTATAATATGTTCAATAGAAGAGTTTACCAGATTGGTCTAGGGCAGCAGTTCTCAGCCTGTGGGTTGTGACCCCTTTGGGGGTGGAAGGACCCTTTCACAGGGGTCGCCCGATTCTTAGCACTAGCAACATGACAGTTATGAAGTAGCAACGAAAATAATTTTATGGTGGGGGGGCGGGGGACACCACAACATGAGGAACTGTATCAAAGGGTCACAGCATTAGGAAGGTTGGGAACCACTGCTCTAGGGCCTTCTGACCAAGACTGTCAGGGTCTGACCTCAGTATGGCAATACTCATCAAGGACACCCCACGTAAGTCCTGAAAGGAGATTGCCTTTTCCTGGGCTAGTCAGGGGGATGGAGGCAATCCACTTAATGCATTCAGCCTGAGCGGAAATACTGTTCCCATCTGGTTAATGGTCAGAAGGAATTAAATGGAGATTTAATCCGCCTGGGGCCTCAGCAAATAAGATTTTGAACTTTTCCTGTGTCCACAGCATTCTGCAAACTTGGTGGTCAGAATTTAAGCTAATACATATGGAAAGGCCTAGGAGTTGGTTGAATCGCTGAATCATGAAGCAGGCATCCTTTATAAAAATAACTGCCAGAAAGTTGTCCAAAGTGACACCTTCTCTTTAAGCATCCTTGTATTTCTATTGCTTTTTAAGATTTAAACGTTTAACTAGGTCCCGTTGAACCGAACCGGGTCTGCAGCTATCAGGTTTCAAGTAGGCACAGGTGAGCGAGAGGGGCTTGGCAGCAACTGCACGCTTTTCACAGTCCTGCGCGCATATCTCCGCGACCAGTTCGCGCACGCGCACCGCGCACGCGCAGCTCCCTCGTTCAGTTGCCTGACACTGGCGGCGCTCGTGCGACAAATGGAGTGGGTGCTCACGGATGCGCTGCTCGCTCAGAGCAGGGACCCCCGGAGCCTGGTCGGGGCGCTGTGCCGCGGGGAGGCGTCCGCGGAGCGCGTGGAGACGCTGGGGTTTCTCCTCCAGCGGCTGGAGGACACAGACGCGTGCCCGGCCGCGCTGCTGCCGGAGGCGGCGCGGGAAGCGGCGGACGGGTACCTGC